ACCCTGAGATCATGACCTGAGTCAGACGCTTAACCAATTGAGTCACCCAGGCACTCCGGTGCTTTATATGTATTAACAGACGTAGTCTTCCCCAAGCCTGATAAAGTAAGTGTCATTGTTATCCCTATTTTACAGATGAGGAAAATGAAGCAGAGAGTTTACACAGCTGATGGTGGAAGAACCCAGAACCAAACTCAGGCAGTGTGCTCCACAGTTCAGGCTCTTGTACATTACACTTTATAGCAGGATTGTTGAGAGAAGTAAGAGTTGCCAGGAGATGGTGCTGTATCGGAGTGAAGAAGGATGTATGCTAGCAGACATTTAACTAATAACATTTATTTAAGTACAGGCTAAATAAAGTGAAAAGTAGAAGAGCTAACTGAGCAAGACTAGAAAACTTTGCCCACTATTTAATTTCCCAAAATACCGTGGAGATGATTTGACCAGGGCATAGTTCTCCAGACAGTCTTGATCTAAGGATGATTACTTCCTTTGGGCTCTTGTGCGCATAATTTACTAGATTCCAAATGCTATTTGGCTCCACAGAACAGAAATGATGGAGCGTGACTTAAACAAGTAAGAGGCTCAAGTTGCACAGGTCACAAAGAGGGTGGGCATGCCGGGATTAGAACCGTAGTTCAAGGGAATGGGCTGCTTCCCTCTTCCTCCATGTGGCCTTCATCCTCAAGATTGTTAGATAAACCCTACCTTGGAGCACCCACCCAAGTTCTAGGCAGGAAGAAGGGGAAATGGCAAAGGGGAAAAGCTGAGTTGGCTCAATTTTTTCCAATTAGAAAAAAACTAGCTTTGCAGAAAAAGTTCCATCCAGATCCACTTCTAACTCATTAGTCAGAATGATGTCACATAATCACCTTTCACTGCAAAGGAGCCTGGGAAATTGAATTTTTATCTGGGCACATTGCCAGCCTGAACAAAACTGGGATTCTATTAAGTGAGGAGGAAGGAGAGAATAGGTATTGGGAAGGCAGCTGGGATGTCTTTCACAGTGGGGAAGAAGTGTATCAGAGAGCACTGTATCAGACTCTCAAGTATCTAGTCACCTGAAGATATAATCAAGTAGGAAATACAATCTTGCCAAAGAAGTATAGGATTATGAATCATTTACATAGCTAAATCTTTGAGGTCTCTGGTTAAAATCAGAATAAAATGTAAGTACACCAATATTTTTGTGAGTTTAAGCCTTATTATTCACATAAAACAGAAGGGTAGGGTTGACTTCTCTTTAGCATCAACCCAAAATGAAAAGCCAAAATGTTACCAAGGGCATTAATGAAATGTAGTAACAATGACACTGTGACCAACACATACAGGCAGATAAGAGTTCAGGTGTCAGTCAAATTAAACTGGCATGGAAATATAGATGAAGGTACCCCATTAAAAAAAAGCATTTTATAAATAGTCTGTGGAAACTGAAAAAGTATCCTATTTTGACACCAAATTCACAGCATTTAATGAATTAACTCTGGCTATTTCTGTGGGGGGCTAACAGATGCATATTTCTAACTATACGATCAATCAAAACATTAAGCAGTGAAATTCCAGAATGCTGCTTTCTCACCAAACAATGAAAATCCCAAAAACAGATGCAGGCTACACTTCAGATTGTCAACTGACTACCTATAGTCCCATGAAGTCCAAACATTTGAATAGTAAATTTGCACCAGTTCACCAATTACAAAATTTGGTGAAGTTTAATTAACTGATGGGAGTTTCTTTATTTGGTATATTCTTCATACAGGAAATACATTCTGAGGAGTGTTAAGTTTTATTTGTTTTCATTTGAATGATTATTTCTTAATATAAGCATTTCTAGGTCATCTTATAAGTGTGTTATTTCACTGTCTGAATTTAAGTTTCCAAACACGAAGGCACCAAGAAATGGCATTTTCGTTGTCTCAAGTTACTGATACCCAAAGCAAGTTGAACGTCACATGTAAATGATGCCCTGATGTGGCATGGAGACCAAACGTAGCTGGGTGCGAGCATGCAAAAGAATCGCAGAAATCTTACAGAGAAAAGGGATGGGGGATGGAGTCAGCCCTTGGCTTGTGAGGGTAGGCGCGCAAACTCAAATGAACCTGCCATGGAGCAGCTACCACCATATTAATGATTTGTGCAAGAGTTTAGATTTTAAAACACATTATTGGCCACATTAAATTAACGTTGTTCATTTGAATGTAATGGCTTTGCTGTTTTGTTTGTATTTAATTTGTAAAGATGTTTGGTTTTATAGTTGTATAATGGCTGTAAACAGAAGGAGTTTAGCCCTATTTTATTTTTATACATATTCAAGTAACATTATAATCAAAACTATTTAATTCTGTACTGCAGTATCAAGAGATTGTCCTTTAGAAAAGAGTCTCTATTACTACTCAAGTCTGAGAACCACTTTTCCACCACTTTCACTCTGACAGAAAAAGACAATGGAGGTGATACTGTTATTTCCAAGTCAAATTCATATTCGATGACAGGTTGGTAAAGAAGTACTTTACAGGTGTGATAACTCCCAACTTTTTCTATTACTAATGTCATTGTTTGGTGGACATCCTGTTCTCTGTAAAAATGAGAATTACAGAAAACTAAAAAGTTCCTGTGATCCTTTTTAAAGAAAAAATAAAGTCTCTCTCTCTTGAGTTGGCAGTGCCTTAGAAATCCTCTAGTCCAATCACCCTTTGGGGGCACAAATGCATGAACTTGAGGTCCCCAGTGGTGCACAGCTGTCTAGGCCATGCCTGAGTGAGGTTGAGGGGGGCTTCTGAATACAGCAATGTCTATGATGTGATTTTTTGAGCTGTTCACTGCCTGGTCTGACTCATCCCCAAGACAAAAGTCTCTGCTGAAACGTCTTGCCGAGTGGGTTTTTGATAGAAATGAGTTCAGGAGGCTGAGTTTCCGTGTGGGGTCAGCCGGGTGCAGAGCTGAGACTGCAGGCAGGGATGCTGGAGCCCAGGAGGAGATGGTGCTCTGAGCACTTACATCCTTTTGAAAATTTGCAGAAACTGTCAGGGGAGATTTAGACTCTTGTGGGGCACCAGGTTTTCAACTGGGGTTTAAACAACCGCTTCTGGCCTTAAGGGGTTGGAGAGGTGCCTCTGGACTCCCATCTCTCATGTCAGCTGGGACTTCGAAGCCCCTACAAGCACATGCACTACTTACTAGATTTCCAAATTAGATGTGGGAGGTGCTGGGAATGACTAATATTTTTATCAATGATCAATACAACATTAATTTTCTTTTAGTTCTTCCAAAAGTTACTAACAGGCAATGCCAATGTTTCTGCTGTCCTTTCTCCCAAAAAAACCACTTTCAATGGGACAGTCATGGCCTTGAAGTGCTATTTGACCTTCTACAAGCAGCTTTCACAAGTAGAACAAAAACCAAGTAAGAAGTTTCTTATGAAAATGTCACTGTTACTGATAATGACCTTATTCTTTGAGCTCTGATACATCAATGTTGGTTAACAAGCACTTTGAACTTTCTAGGTGATCACACCAAAGGGGTTTAAATAAACTATAATCCTTCTAATGTTAACTTACATTACTTAACTCATTACAGTCAACATCAAATAGATTTTCATAAGAAAGAAAACCTAAAACCAAACAAAAAAGAGAAAGAAAGAAAGAAAGAAAGAAAGAAAGAAAGAAAGAAAGAAAGAAAGAAAGAAAGAAGGAAAGAAGGAAAGAAAGAAAAAAAAATAATAATCGGACTAGAGTTTTACCCTAAGGCCTGCTTATCCTTTTGCTACTCTTTAAAATGCTTCCTTCTGGGTTTGCCTGAAGGTTACCTGTTACATTTGCAAACCCCCTATTAAAGCTGGAACTAAATAACTAAAATAGACTGCTTGCAAAACGTAGCAGCCAAATCACACATGGGTGCTAGAGATGAACGAATTCCATCTCGTCTCTAGTCTTGCAGGGTCCATAAAGTGCAGTACCAGAGACCAGCAGCACCAGCCTCAGACCAGACAACTTGTTAGAAATGCAAATTTTAGGCTCCACTCCCTTCTAGGCCCGCAGAATTGAAATTCTGGGGAAGGGTTAAGCAATCTGTGTTTGAAGAAACCCTCCAGGCGTTCTGATGCAAGCCAAAGCTTGAGAACCACACCCTTTAAGTGAAACCTATTTTGAATGTTCAAAGCCTAGCTCCCCTCTAGAGAGCAATGATTATAAGAAACCACTATAATATATGATGAGATTAGTATATTGTTTATGATAATAACATGTATATGTTTCAGATAAAAATAAATGAGAATTATTTTCCTCCTGAACTAAATTTTAAAGGTGTTTGAACACAAAAATGGATAGGTGGAAAAATATGTTTTTAAAATGTTTCAGAATTTAAAATAAATATATAGCCATTAATAAATATATAACCATAGAGTTAGTTAAATTTTGAAATAAGTGTGCAGTCATTAATACAGAGTCAGCCTTTCACTCCTTTGTGCTATACTAATATACATAATCACACCTTGGTCTGTGGCTATTAATAAGCAATTTGGAGACTGGCTATATTATACATTTCATCACTAATTCTTTCATAATAGAAAATCATGTCACCAAAAAATGAGGCCCTTTAAGTAAATCATAATTCAAACAAATCAGGCCACTCTCCACCTATTTAATTACTGTAACTAGAGGCTCTGTTAGCAACAAAAGGAAATACAGCTTAAGTAGAAGAGCCATAATTTCAAGTTTGCTTTTTATTTGAGTTACAAACTAAAGGTTAGTTCTCCATTCTAAAACCATTTTAAGGACAAGATGAAATATGTTGGAATCATTAGAAAAGCTATCAAAACCTCTGCTCCTCTTTCCATTAACCTTCGATTTGTGTAAACTCAATACTTTTAGACACAACGGCTTTCTAAAGGCCATTAATAAAAGGCAGTCCTGGTATGAGAATTGATGAACAATCTACTCCCTTGTCAAAAACTATATAAAAGTTGATTTGGAAGCAATACCTTGATTGCTCCTGGAGCCTACCTGTCTACAGATGAAGGTTTGGAATTCCGCGGCTTCTTCACTTGGGCATACAAAGCATCCATCATATGTCCTTCTCTTGGGCTCTGGGGTCTGGCATTGAGAGCCATAGAACCTTCATAGGAAGACATTCCCCCATACATCAACTCATCATTACAACCCAATGTCCGATGAAAATCTTGGATTTCAGCATAGTCACGCTCTCGAGCTTGTCGCTCTCTAAATTCACGAGTTTTGGCTTGAATCCTGTAAAATTAGAACAAAGTTGAAACAAGAGAAATGATGCCTTTTCTAAGTAAGAACTGCATATAGAAACATTCATCAAAATATGTCATCAAATACATTTTATTTCATGCAGCTATAAGAAGATTGATGGTATAAACAATGGTATAGTCGTTTTAGATTGTCAAGGTAATATCATGGATGCTCCAAAATAACTTTAGGTAGCTTTTGTTCATGTCAATAAGATACAGTCATGACTTACATCTTAATTTAAATTGCCACTGATTAGTTTTAGAAATTCACCAGGAACAGACAGTTTTAGGCATCCACCTGAGTCTTACTCATGAATTTTTTTAAAGCAAGAAGTGATTTTTTTTTAAAGTTACACACACAAACACGCACACATGCATACTATATATGTATAGATTTATGTGTGGGTACATATTGTATACATCTTACTTATAAATATATCATACACATACAACATATTATGAAACTAAACATGAATCCATACCATCATTCTCTATTAATGGCAAAAGAAGATCTCAGTTTAATGACACCAGCTTTGATTATATGCGATGTATACAGAACTGGCAAATCCTGAGACTAAGGACAAGATCCAATCAAATTCTGAAATAAAACTTTTCTGTGTTATAACTAAGAAACAGATCTTAAATAACCACTTTTACTGAAGATCGTTTAGATATTTCCTAAGATTTTATTGAGCTACTTGGTAGAAAGGCCTTTTCAACCTATAATATATTGATGTAATTCATATCCTAAGTTGATCTTAGCTACCTAAAAATAACTAAACGCCCCTCAATCGAATTTTAATGATTTTTGTTGGGGAAAGTAGTTCCATTATATACTTACAAATTTAGCTGTGTACTTAAAAGTGAAGTCTTATGTATATAAAGCAATATGTTAGACTGAATTTAACATTTTATTGCAAAGTTACTTGCTTTTTTCATATTTGAGGTAAACCACTGCGAGCATTCCTGACATGTAAGTATATATTGAAAATACAGAAAAGATACAAAAGCCAGATAAAGATAGTATAAAAAATTAAAAAGCAAAACTATGAGCCAATATCCTTTGTGAATATAGAAACAAACACCCTTAACAAAATATTACCAAGTAGAATTTAGCACTATATAACAAGATCATACACCATAACCAAATGATGTTTACTGCAGGAATTCAAGGCTGGTTCCATATTCAAAAATCAATCAATGTGATCAACAAATTAGCAGGTTAAAGAAGAAAATCACATGATCATATTAACTGATGCAGAAAAAAGCATCTGACAAAATTCAACACCCATCATGGCAGAAGCTCTCAAAAAAACTAGTAAGAGAGCATAGCTAGCTTCCTAAACTCGATAAAGAACAACTATAAAAAAACCTATTAGTAAAGTCATACGTCACACGTCACACGTCATATCATATGTCAAAGACTGAATTTTAAGATTAGGAAAAGGCTAGGGATGTCTGCTCTCCCAGAGAGCTGGAAATTCTAGACAGTGAAATGAGCCTAGAAAAAGAAATGGGTGGTATATAGAACAGACTGGAAAAAAAGAAATAAAACTATTCGTGTTTGTGGATGACATAATGGTGTCATTGCAGGTCTACATTCATAGAAAACCCCAAGGAAGGGGTTTAGAACTAAAGATAAATTCAGCTAAGTAACAACATACAGCATCAAAAAACCCCCCAAATCCATTGTATTTCTATATGCTGTCAATGAACACGGATGCTGAAATTAAGAATACAATGCCATTTACAAGCGCTAAAAAAATGTAATATATACACAGATAAAAACTAAAGGTTGGTTTATAGATATGTACAAATATATAGAGATATCAATCTAACAAAACATGTACAAGACTTATATGCTAAAAACTACACAATGCTGATGAAAAATCACAGAAGATCTAAAAAATGGAGAGACTCAACATAGTAAAGAAGTCAATTTTCCCCAAGTTGATATCCAGGTTTAATATGATTCTTATAAAAATCCCAGGAAGATTCCTATAGATATAGACAAAATTATTTTTAAATTTATATGGAAAGGCAAAGGATAGAGTAGCTAAACAATTGTAAAAAGAATAATAAACTGGGAAAAACCACACTTAGCCATGATAATCAAGACTGTGAAATCTATGGAGGGACAGACACACAGATCAATAGAACAGAAGAAAGAACCCAGAAATAGCCAAGTAAGGTTGACTGATTTCTCTTAATTACACAAAAGTAATTCAATGAAATAAAGCATTCTTTTCAACAAATAGTGCTGGAACAATTAAATGTCCCTAGCCAAGAACAAAAACAATACAAAACAAAGCACCCTGGATTTACACATCATACCTTACACAAAACCAATCCAAAATGAATTACAGATTTAAATATAAAAATGTAATACTATAATACATTAGGAGAAAATCCTTAGGACCTAACACTTGGGGAATAACACCTAGAAATGATACCAAGAGCATCATCCATAAAGAAAAGGCATATAAACTGAACATTATCAAAACTAAAAGCATTTCCTCTCCAAAAGACTCTATTAAGAGAATGAAAAGATAAGTACAGACCAAGAGAAAATATTTGCAAACCACATATCTGACAAATAATTCATGTGCAGAATATGTAAAGAACACTTAAAACTCGACAATGAGAAAAACAATCCTATTAGAAGAGAAAAAGACAGGAAGCAGTATTTCTTTGAAAAGTATATACTGATAACAAATAAGCACATGAAAGATGTTCAACATCCCCAGCCATTAGGGAAATGCAAATTAGGACTACAATGAGCTATTACTGCACACCTATTATATCAGTTAAAATAAAAAAGTGATAATATCAAGTGCTCGCAAGGATGTAAAGAAATTGCACCTGTCATACATTACTGCTGGAAATGTAAAATGGTACAACTGCTGTGGGAAACAGTCTGGCACTTACTCACAAAACTAGACATACACTTACCATACCACTCAGCAATTGTACTTCTAGACATTTATCCCAAAGAAATAGAAACTTGAGTCCATGCAAAGACATGTATGCAACTGTTCAAAGACTCTTTCTCATATTCAAAAATTGGAAAAACCAAAGGATGCAACAACAGGTGAACAAATAGACCAAAGTATGTCCTTATCACAGATCACTACTCAGCCATACAAATAAACAGACTATTGATACACACAGCAACTGGAATAGATCTCAGGGACATTACGCTATGTGGGAGACAAAGTCAATCTCAAAAGGTCACATACTTTTGAAACAAAATAAGATTTCATTTATATAGCATTCTCAAAATGACAAAATTAAAGACCAGGTGAAGAGATCAGTGGTTGCTGAGATTTAGCAACAGTGGGAGCAGAGGGGTGGGTGTGACTAATAAAAAAGTAGCACGAGGAAGATCTTTGCAAAGGAATAGTTCTGCTTCTTGATTGCAGTGGTGGTTACACGAAGCACACACATGATCAGATGACACAAAACTATATACACACATGGTAGCAATGCCAATTTCCTGGTTTTGATATTGTACTATAGCCACGTATGTTTTAGCAGCTGGGGAAAACTGGATGAATGGTACACAAGACTTCCCTGTATCATCTTTGCAACTTCTTGTAAATCGAAAATTATTTCAAAATAAGTTTTTAAAAACCTGGAAAACTGGGGCACCTGGGTGGCTCAGTCATTAAGCGTCTGCCTTCGGCTCAGGTCATGATCCGAGGGCCCTGGGATGAAGCCCCACATCTGGCTCCCTGCTCCGCGGGAAGCCTGCTTCTCCCTTTCCCACCCACCCCCCCACCCCGCTTGTGTTCCCTCTCTTGCTGTCTCTCTCTGTGAAAATAAATAAATAAAATCTTTAAAAAAAAAAAAAAGCTGGAAAACTGTCACATAGCATTGCAAGCAAAATGTGCATTTTTCTCCCTTGTTTTCTTCTTACATCGAGCCTATCATCATGAGGCCAGTCTTGTTTATCCAAAGTTTGGAACTGCCTGGCCAATTTTTTCTAATTTCTTTCATTTCCCAGCTATAAAATGGAAGTACCTAAATTCACCTAGCTCAGTGTTCCTCAACAGGGGTCCAGTGACATTTGAGAAAGGGTAACTTGTTATAGTTGCAAAACTTCACGCACAACTGCTTCCAGCCACATGTCACCAAGCAGTGCCCCCAGCCATGTGGGCAAGCAAAAATGCTGCACGTGTTCCCCAAACCATCTGAGAAGGACCTTATTTCCTGAGTTGAGAACCAAAAATTGTCTTAATTCATAAGAGACTATTGGGAATTTGCAATTTTTATCAGGAAGAGTCCTAGATTCTAGTAAGTCCCACAAAGAGAATACCCATAAGAGAAATAGCAAGTCAAATTCTAATGTCAAATTTAGCTAAATTTATACTGGATTTCTTATTATAGTCTACTTACTCACTTAGGAGTGATTATGACAGTCAAGGATGTTATTATAAAAGCTGATTACCACTAAATACTGGATATTCATGATGAAAAGTTCATATAAGTTCAGAGATCATTTTATTCTCTGCATCATACTGTCTTTTTGACTCTGTATTCAGCCAGAAAAACTACAGAAGAGAGAAATGACTTCTTTCTTCAACTCAATGGGATATTAATTTGAAACTCAATTATGATCACTCATCTGACGATCCACGTTACTACTATATTTGGTCACCATCAGAGAATCACCTAGCTACAGGGTGGCTGGGCATTCACAGAAGTCTTGAAGTTTGGGAACCTGTAGAAATTTGAAGCGCTACAACAGAAATAAAGCCAAAATCTCTAAATTTGGAGATCTCCTGAAATCAAAGGGAGTAACAAATTGGTTTATAAATGAGTGAGCCCTATGGTACTTGAACTTCAGTTCACTAAAAGTGAAGAAAAAAGTGAAGAAAATTATGTTGGAAAATGCAGGCCTGTTCAGAAAAGAAGCCATCAGAAAAAAAGAGTATGAACATTCTCTTCTCAAGGGAAGCATGAAACCTAAATAATCTCCCCAAACTTCTT